ATTGACCAGTACACCCTGTATACAGTGTACACACTGCAGGTCTACAGTTCTGATGTGTAATGAATTGCATGTTTTAAATGACAGTGAGACATGGGTGCGTCCGAAACTGCCTACTACTCAGTAGGTACTGCATTTGAATTTAAACATACTACTCGGCCGTTAGAAAAGTACGTTCTACACAGTATGAATGTGAAAAGTATAAATGGAATTCGGACGTACTACATCCGCCATTTTGTCATGGTCACGTGACCTACCCGCGTCAGTTGCGTCGCTTTACTTCCATTCATGAATTCGCTCGCGGGGCATCATGGGATAGTGCAGCATGCATGGGAAGCGCACTCCGGAATCTCACCGGAAGTAGTAAGTCATCCGGGAACTTCTCGCATACTGATTTTCGAATTCTATGAATTCGGACATATTACTCGGCTCGCATACTGATTTTAGCATACTATATAGTATGGAAGTATGCGGTTTCGGACGTAGCCATGCTATATTTAGTTTTTTATTTTAAAATATACATTATAACCCAGTACAACGTAAATTAATATGTATTAATGGCTTATTGGCAGAGTATAGCCTTTAAGCTTAAATAGTCCAAGCAGGTTTTTTTATTAGCTAATATTGAAACGAATTACAAACTAGACACCTTTTGATTTTATTTTGTTCCGTATATTTTTATCAAATTAAAAATGCCATTAATTGTATTTTGGTTTTAATTTTATTAGAAATTGAATCGCCAGGCAACACTTCTTCTACATAACATTGGCGCTCATTGCATTTTTACAGATATCCTACTGATAAGCTGAAAGACGTCACCTGTTAATTTCGGTGCTGTTTTTTGATATTTTGCATGGGCTTCAGCTGGTACCGGCCTCAGTTTCGCGACTTGACGTTTATGTGGCGTCTACTTATCCATGTCTGGATGACAGCAAGAGTAAGATGAGATGAGGCCTCAGATTCAATGTGTGGCTGCACTTCAGGGGCGTTGCTAGGGTCAAAAGGGATAAGGGGCTTAGCTATCTAGATATCTATATCATATCTAGAAAGCAAGTACAATTTACGTTTTTTTTTTCTGACTAATTTGCATGTATTTGCATTAATATGATGCACATTTTATTGATTACCTACAGTTATTTTATTTCACCAAAACTACACACTTTATACTGTGAAAACAAATATTAAGCTTCATCAGTAGTTAGAACTATTTAGTTTCGCGAAACAGTTGTAACCTATTCCAAAAGATCAGGGGCTTCAGGAAACTCGCTATAAGTAGTCTAGCAAAAGTCACTCCCTTATCTTCGTTTTCCAAAGAAACCCCCCATCCACCCCTTCTCCCCCTTTCCTCTTTTACCACATGGAGCTCTCGAGAATCACCTGATCTCGTACTCCCCTTACATCACAGGTGTCAAACTCAGTTCCAAAAGGGCCGCAGCTCTGCACAGTTTAATTCCAACCCTAATTAAACACACCTGATCAAACTAATTGAGTCCTTCATGCTTGTTTGAAACCTACAGGTAAGTGTGTTGGAGCAGGGTTGGAACTAAACTGTGCAGGGCTTCGGCCCTCCAGGAATTGAGTTTGACACCCCTGCCTTACATGTTCTATTGACCAGGCGGGAGCCCTGGGCTCAATTTTCTCAGAGCTCAGGGTTCCCTCCTGGGACTGCATGCCAAACCTGCTAATAGCATCAAGCAATATTTAAGTGTGAACTCTTGAAGCAACATTTAAGCGAGGAGCACAACTGACGTTCTCTGTGCTGGACTTTAGACTTGCTTTGATCTGGTCTATTGTGCAGTCTATTATAGTTCCTCAAAATAGCAATGCGCCTTAACACACCTCCTTTTTTAGACCAGAACATCTAGGGGCGCACATATGAGTGTGGTGTAAAACGTCAAAATGACCCTTGAGTCCAGCTGAAAAGCTGCATTGCGCTGGGTGTGTGAAAGGGCCCAATGTGTTTTCAGTAATTTGATAGCAGGTGGTTGAGAAGATTGTTGCTTTTTTTTTTTTTAATGGGTTTAAAAGAGCAACTTAGTTTTAACTTTACTGTTGCTCAGCCTGTTTTATCCAGCTCTGTCCTGCTCTTTTCTAGTAATCCTGAGCTGGCAGTTTGATGCTGTGTGATGCACTGTGTGCAGTTCCGGCTGTGTGTGTTTGTATATATGTGTACTGTTGATGTCAGCATTCTGAGTGTAAAAAAAAAAAAAAGGAAAAAAAAAGAAGTTGCACAGGCGAGTTTCACTGTCAAGTTGACCTCCCCTCTCTGGCCTATACTGGATTTAGACTGACAAAAGAGAGGATCAGAACTCCACAAACCACCAGCATAGAGTGGATTACAGACTGACACACACACACACACACACACTCACACTCACTCTCTCTGCTCTCTGACCTCTCAAAGTCAGTGCTGACCTTGATCTAGTCAGAGATGTTGAACTCTCAATCTGATCACTGGGTGAAATCTCGAATTCTGAAATATTCATTCATTCATTCATTCATTTTCTTTTCGGCTTAGACCCTTTATTAATCCGGGGTCGCCACAGCGGAATCAACGCCAACTTATCCAGCATGTGTTTTACGCAGCGGCTGCTCTTCCAGCTGCAACCTATCACTGGGGAACATCCATACACACTCATTCAAACACATACACTTCTGACAATTTAGCCTACCCAATTCACCTGTACCGCATGTCTTTGGACTGTGGGGAAACCGCAGCACCCGGAGGAAACCCATGCAAACACGAGGAGAACATGCAAACTCCACACAGAAATGCCAACTGACCCAGCCGAGGCTCGAACCAGCGACCTTCTTGCTATGAGGCGAACGTGATACCCACTGCGCCACCATGCAGCCCTATAGTGAAATATTAGTAACGTTACTTCCATTTTGAAGTATTTAGTAGGACTATTGTCGTAGAAGTGATTATTGCAAAATACATTTGGTTTAAATAACTATTGCTGAAATCAAATCAGAATGTTAACGAAAAAAAACTTTTAAGCTCTTTTAAAGATCCAAAAGAGAGGTAACATGACAGCAAGTTCAGGAGCCGGAGCCAAGCTGCTGTTAAGGCAAAATAAATTATCATGCATCCTTGTCTTTATCTCAGAAATATGGTCAGAAATGTAACAAATATCAGTGTATTCACAAGATTATGAGGGAATGTAAATGTGGGTATCAGTCTAGAAATGTCTAAGCAAAGCAAAGCAAAGCAATGCTCAAGTGATGACAAACTAGTATGAAAAAGTAAAGGGCCTAAAACAGAGCCCTGAGGGACACCAGCAGGTATACAATCCTTTTTAGCCCTTCAATGCACTTTTAAGACTTTTAATGATCTTTTTACAAACAAGGCTGTTTGATACAGATTTTAAGAAAGCTTGAAAGGATTCTGTACAGACTATATTGGATTTGGTGGTATGTCGCACCGCAGAAGTGCAAGTCATTATTTTATTATTTATTTTATATTGTTTTTGACAAAACCAGACAGAAAATAAACAACTACATCTAAATTACAATTTTTAAGTGAAAATCTGTACAAAACAGTACAAAACAATAAAAAAAGCAGTTCACAAATTCTAGTCTTAAAGTCTTACCCCTGTTATCATGATGAAATAATTGTGTGAAAACTGTATTGGTCATGGTTCATATATACAGTCAAAGTCAGAATTATAAGCCCCCCTGTTCATTTTATCCCCCAATTTCTGTTAAACAAAGAGATGTTTTTCAACACATTTTTAAACATAATAGTTTTAATAACTCATGTCTAATAACGGATCCATGATGACAGTAAATAATATTTGACTAGATATTTTTCAAGACACTTCTATACAACTTAAAGTGATATTTAAAGGCTTAACTAGGCTAATTAGGTTAACTAGGCAGGATAGGATAATTAGGCAAGTTATTATGAAATGATGGTTTGTTCTGTAGACTATAGAAATAATATATACAGCTTTAAGGGGCTAATAATTTTGACCTTAAAATGGTGCTTAAAAATTTAAAGACTGCTTTTATGCTATCCAAAATAAGACTTACTCAAGAAGAAAAAATATTATTAGAGATACTATGAAAATTTCCTTGCTCTGTTAAACATCATTTGGGAAATATTTAAAAAAAAGAGAAAAAATTCAAAGGAGGGATGATAATTCTGGCTTCAACTGTATATATATATATATATAGTCTTGTCGTTGATTCCAAAAGAGCAACAAATAATAACTTGACTTTTAGTTGATCATTTGAAAAAATGGCAGAAGGTCGTTTTTTTCTGATGAATAATCTGTTGAACTGCATCCCAATCATCACAAACACTGTAGAAGACCTATTGGAACCCACATGGATCCAAGATTTTTACAGAAATCAGTCAAGTTTGGTGAAGGAAAAAATCATGGTTTGAGGTTACATATTGAGTATGGGTGCATGTGAAAGATCTACAGAGTGAATGGCAACATCAACAGTCTGAGGGATCAAGCATTTTTGCTGCCCATTACATTACAAACCCACAGGAGAGGGCAAATTCTTCAGCAGTATAGCGCTCCTCCACATCAAAGTTCCTGAAAGCAAAGAAGGTCAAGGTGCTCCAGGATTGGCCAGCCCAGTCACAAGACATGAACATTATTGAGCAAAACTGCGGTAAGATGGAGGAGAAATTAAATGAACTCTGAGTCCTGCAAGAACATCAAGTTCTTTGCCTTTCATAATTAAATAATTAAGAATCAAGGCATGATCATATTTTATTTTGGCAAAAATAAGCGTAATCTAGAGGCCTTTGCCTTTATATGAGCCACTTCTGATACCAAATGATCAACTAGAAGTCAAGTTATTACTTGTTGTACTTAAAATTTTGATGGGTGACAAGACTTTGGTCAGGTAGTGTATATATACAGTATATATTTTTCTTTTTATTAGGGAACCTGATTAAATGCAAAACTCTTTTGCATTCTTTGAAGATGTGGATTAGTCGTATTTCTGAAAAAAAAGTATGTTTATCATATTTGTCTAAAAATGAAGCACATTTGAGTAAAGCTGATACTGAATTGTGCTAAACTTACCATGCATTGGAGCAAAGGAACTAAAGGCCAGCAGAAGGTCCTGACTGTGTGTTTAGCTCATCTGAAACAGGCCACTTTAAAGAGTGCCTGCGACATCATAATAGCCGTCATGGCAACTGAATCAGGCTGTAGCCATGGCGATGACCACAGCACTTCAGAAGGAGGATGATGAAAGGAGGAACACGCTGGATAATATATGTGCGCACTTGTGTTTTCGGTGCTTTATAATTAAAGCATGTCGGCACCCAAACCCAACAGTGGCACATAATAAAGCTTTAATTATATCCTAAAAACCATACCGGCCAACACTTAGATCCTCAAAGTGACTGTGAGGAGCAGCTGAAATGAGCAACCTGTTAGCATGTAGCGGAGACTTGTTGTTGTTGTTGTACCGAACTGAAGCTGATGTTGATCATCATGCTGTGCTGAAATCTCATGGCTGATGGTGCTGGAGGTTTGATTGAGCTGGAGAAGGGGAGGAGAGATCCCTTTGTGCCCGGGCCTCCTGCCGTCTCCTCCACTGGAATTAATTAGCCTCTTTCTGAAAGGAGATACCTTTCTAATTTCAGCCCATGTCCTGAAACACACACAAACACAACACACACACATTAACATCAGCATAGACCAACTGACGGATTATAAACCATCACATTTGGAATGGCAATAAAAGAGGTAAGAACTAACATGGCAGGCAAAGTTTTGATTCATTCTATCTATCTATCTATCTATCTATCTATCTATCTATCTATCTATCTATCTATCTATCTATCTATCTATCTATCTATCTATCTATCTATCTATCTATCTATCTATCTATCTATCTATCTATCTATCTATCTATCTATCTATCTATCTATCTATCTATCTATCTATCTATCTATCTATCTATCTATCTACTTCACAAAATGTGAAGTAAATTATGCAACTCTAATATTTTAAATGCGGTTATAAGGCATGACAGTTTTAAAATATACTATAATAATTCATATGATTTTTTTTGTAGAGACTTTTTTTTGTCAAAAACTGTGTGGTTTGAATTGTGCTATACGAATACATTTTAATTAATCTCATTTAATTAATCCAGTCTTGATAACCCATATATAGATTTTTTTTTAACAATAGCTCTCAGAAATGCACTTGCAATGAATACCAAATATTCAAGCAAAATTCAATCTTTGAACCTCCTGCATTTCACTTCCATTAGATTTTGATTGAAGACATGAAGACATTAAAATCTGCTGTAACAATTAATATGATATTCTGAGGAGAATTCATCTCATTTTTAACTGTTGTTAGTGGTTGTAGTGTTTTTTAGCTGCTAGAAATTTAGTAAAAGATTGTTTCAACATATTTAGATGACTCTTACTTGCTTTGAGTTGAGAAACAGTTTGACGTTTCGTTTCTCCCCTTACTTGACCTAATTGTAATGTCTAATAAGAAGTGGGGGTTTTCAAGCATCAAAAAATGTAAACGTGTAATACAGCTTTAATTATTTTTCATACTTTACAATGTGTCCTGTTAATTGTTTTCTTAGCAAAGTGTATTGAATTAAAGCTTTCTCTAAACAACTGTAACTTTCTGTAGTGCGTAGGGTTTGATGTTTTGGTGTGTTATGTTTTACGATTTACGGAAAACACTGACTACTTTTTCATTAGGGAACCTGATTAAATGCAAAACTCTTTAGCATTCTTTGAAGATGTGGATTATTCATATTTATAAAACAAGCTGTATGTTTATCATATTTGTCTAAAAATGAAGCACATTTAAACTGCAGTGGGGCACAGGAATGACTAAAGTGTTAGTGTGACAATTTATGACAAGAAAAATCTTGTCAGGCATGTTTAGATCAAGAATTTAAAGACATATTATAAGATTTTAACAAGTAAAAATAACTGTGCAGCCCCAAAATGTGAATAAATCTATTTTAAATTTGTCAGCGATAAGTTTTTAATCCTTTAATAAGATACAACAAATTTAGTATGATCACCTACTGTATGCATTGATTAAAGTTGTTTGAAATTTACCTCCATTAAATGCCAAATATTCCATCATTAAATCTTTGAAGCACCTGCATTTTCATTAAATTTCACTGTTGTCACAGATATTAAGCAATAATTAATCATTCATTCATTCATTTTCTTGTTGGCTTTGTCCCTTTATTAATTCGGGGTCGCCACAGCGGAATGAACCGCCAACTTATCCAGGAGGTTTTTACGCAGTGGATGCCCTTCCAGCCGCAACCCATCTCTGGGAAACATCCATACACACACTCATATGGACTATTTAGCCTACCCAATTCACCTGTACTGCATGTCTTTGGACTGTGGGGGAAACCGGAGCACCCGGAGGAAACCCACGCGAATACAGGGAGAACATGCAAACTCCAACTGTACATTCATTCTTCCATGGCGGGGCGCCACAACAAGACTACATTACAGCTTTACATTCAGGCAAATTATTATTATTTTTTTTTAAATAGCGGTAGTAATAGTAATCTCACAAAAATGTACTAAAAGGTAAGTGAATTATAACAGCAAGAACTTTTCTGTAATCATAGAAGTGCTGTGCGTTATTTGTTTAACCCTTTGAGGTTACGTGTTGACTGACAGGTGTTTGATGCATGAGGCCAGCAAACATGACGTACTGTAGCTTTCAGTTAAGATGAACCCAGTTTCCATTATTATACTTATAAAGGTCTATGGCTCTGCACACAACGACTTTATCTTCCTGGAGTTTATAGCCGTTTCACTTTACTTCAGGACGCATTAATCCTGCTCTGTAGGTCTATTGAAGACATTCATGAATATTCCCAGCAAATCTAGTAAATGTCAGAGACATACTCGTTTCATAAATGCACTAAATCACACTTCAGCAGTGTTTATTTGAGAGCGCACAAGCAAAGAGATTCACATGCTCGTACATGAATGCGATCCCGACCTGTAATACTGCGCTCATGACATTTGTCACTGAAATAACGGCATAGGTAGTTGGTAGAACTGTGTAAAAGGTCTGCCGCCATAGCTGGAAAAAATCCTAGAGGAAACACTGCAATAAGTCCTGTATATGGTCTTTAAAATGAAATAACATAAACAAAGGAGGCTGAAAAAAATTTTCATTTTAGATGGAAAGTTCAGATGGCACTTAGAAGTTTTTTGCATCTGAACTCTTCATATGTTTTTGCTAGCTATTAATACTAGGTCTGTCACAATAATCGATATATTGCACAACACATGGATATGACCTTAATCATTTTTGGGGATGAAATATATATTGCCCATACATGAAAACCAACATTTTACTGCTGATTGTGCAACATCTCTATCTCTATTGGGGCTGTCAGTGTCATTGTGGTTAAAAACATTATGGGATTTACAATAAATTACTCTAGGATATTTTTATGTGGGTGCCTGACAACTAAAAATAGATCTGCTAGCAGAGGTCGCAGCCGCTGTTTCTTTTTACCTTGCACTTTTTGTTAACATTTATTATTATTATTATTATTTATTTGGGATATGCATTTTCACATTCTGATTCCAATGCCTAATTATTGAACTGTTATAATGACTATGATGAAATATTCTTAAGAATAAAATATGTGTTCTTTGAGTGTCCTTGCATTGTGATGATATTTTATTGTCATTCTGGCATTATATTATGAGTGTCATGAAATGGTCTTAAAATGACAATAATATTCATTCATTCATTTTCTTGTCACCTTAGTCCCTTTATTGATCCGGGGTCGCCACAGCGGAATGAACCGCCAACTTATCCAGCAAGTTTTTACGCAGCGGATGCCCTTCCAACTGCAACCCATCTCTGGGAAACATCCACAGACACATTCACACACACACTCATACACTACGGACAATTGAGCCTACCCAATTCACCTGTACCGCATGTTTTTGGACTGTGGGGGAAACCGGAGCAGCCGGAGGAAACCCACGCGAATGCAGGGAGAACATGCAAACTCCACACAGAAACGCCAACTAAGCCGAGGCTCGACCCAGCGACCTTCTTGCTGTGAGGCAACAGCAGTACCTACTGTGCCACTGCGTCACCGACAATAATATTATCACAATATATTTTGGTACAACAAAAAATAGATCCCGTGAGAGGCCTAGTTAATGCTGTTCTTAATATTTGATTAATTCTGTTATTTAGTTTCTTCTTACTGTTCATCTCACACCAGGAGCTGCGGAGCCGTCAGTTTTGGCAGGGGATCCTGGCAGAGGTTCTTGGTTCTCTGGTGTTTGTATCTGCTGTTTTGGGCTCTTTAGTGCCGGGGCCGGATGGGGTGTCCCCGGGACCCATCTACCCTGCACTGGCTGCTGGTATGGCAACTGTGGTTCTGGGATATTGCTTTGGTGAAATCAGCGGGGCTCAGGTAATGATCCGTCATTGATTTATTATTTGTTTTTTGCTGTATCAGTAATGGTGATTGACTTTTGTTGTTGTTGCATAAAGAATGTTGTTGCTGCATTGTGCGTAACTCAAGTTTTATCTTTTATAAAATTCATGATTCTGCGAACAACCGTGGAGAATCATCCATAAAACCATTTTTAATGGCACAAACGTTTCTTTAGATAATCAAAATGTTGTAAAAAAAAAAAACATTTTTAGTAATTTCTCAGGGAAGCTATAAAGATGTTAAGACGACGCTTTGAGCTGAGTCAGTTCTGCCCGCTGTTTATTTACTTTAAAGTTTTTTTTTAAATATTGCGGCAATATGTGAAGGAAAAGCACAGGATTTTTTAAATGGACCGACAGTGAGCTGAAGTTGTTGCTGTGAATAACACAGCAGTAAAAAGCTACAAAAACCCAGTGAAAATATAAACTGAAACATGTCAAAACAACAGCTCTGAGCTTCTGTGTCTGTGTCCAGAAGAAAAGCAGTCTAGAGCATGAACAAACTGACATATAGGGCTCTATTTTAACGGTCTATGCGCAAAGTCTAATTAATTCTCATTCTCATAAAATTATAAGTAGACTGTTAGGTTGGGGTTAGGGTTAGAGTAAATTGACATGTACTTGCTAAGTTTCATATAGTCAGTTAAATGTCTGTTTAGGAGCAGCATCAGCAGATATTAAGCAGACAGTCTAGCAATGCTCAAATGGACCATCAAAAGAAAGTGTTACCAACTCCACTAATAATCAAATTATAACTATACGAGCTAGGATTTATAAAAGGTTTTGTAGTTTTGATTGTGAATTTAGTTAAATGAACTACTGGAGCCTTATTGCACAGTGTTAACATACAATATTGCTATACAAATAATCCCAGAATATATTGCAATCAGTATTTCAGCATGTAGTAGTCTAGAACAACATGTGAATATGCTCATTAAGCTAATTAAGCACTTTAAACTTTGTTTAAGCATTCAGCACTCTTATGAATACCACAGCAAATACAACCTAAACATTCTTAAAAGGCACTCTAAAAGTTTAAATAAATTATTATTTGCTGTGTTTTTAAGTGCCCATGATATCAATATCATGCTTGTTCAGTAATACAATACACTTTATTATCGAATATTGGCACATCTACTGCATTTTCACATTGTGTCTCGAAAATGGCATTTTAAGATTTAGCCACTTTATCAAAAAAAGTTTCTTTTTGGTGTCTAATTACACCATCTCAGTGTGGACACAAAATAAAAAAGCAATACAACTTATTTAAATAGTGTGACAAGTGCAAGACTAACTTAAATGTCCAAGAGAGAGAAAGAGAAAGTATAGTTTAAAATGTTTTGCTGTTTCAGGTGAATCCCGCAGTGACGGTGGCTCTCTTGGCCACCCGTAAGGTGGATGTGTTGAGGGCTGTGGTGTATCTGGTGGCTCAGTGTTTGGGTGGGATCCTCGCGACTGGGCTCATGTACCTCTCACTGCCTCTGAAGTCAACCGCACAGAACTACATCAACAAGGTCCAGAGCCGTTCACCAAACAAGACATGCTCAGATATGTAACATAGTTGGTGGAACTATATATATATATATATATATATATATATATATATATATATATATATGTGTGTATACATACATACATACATATATATTAGGGGTGTCACGATTCGATTCGATTTTCGATTATGAATAATTAATTAATTAATAACAAATTAATTATTTGTAGCCTACCGTACCTGACCTGCATGGTCTTTGTTTACCCATAAACAAATCATACAGTAAATGAATAAAGGCAAGTTACACACATAATTACCACCTGTCAATCACTTTTTTCTTGTGAAAAGGCAGTGATCTGTGTCGTTATAATGGCGTCGGTAAAAAAAGGTGCACAACCAACAGGAACCAGCCAACAGTATCTGAGGTTTTCGCTAAAATGACTAAGTACAAGTGTGAAAGTAAAAGACTGAAGCAGTCTTAACTAGGTTAATTAGGTTAACCAGGCAGGCTAGGGTAATTAGGCAAGTTATTGTATAATGATGGTTTGTTCTGGAGACAGTCTGAAAAAACAATTAGCTTCAGGGGCTAATAAATTTGACCTTAAAATGGTTCATTAAAAAAATTAAGAACTGCTTTTATTCTAGCCAAAATAAAACAAATAAGACTTTGTTCAGAGGAAAAAATATGATCAGACATACTATTAACATTTCCTTGCTCTGTTAAACATCATTTAGGAAATATTTTAAAAAGAAAAAAACAACAAAGGGGGGCTAATAATTCTGACTTCCACTGTATATTCCACTGTATATTATTATATATATTTACAGTAATTTTTAAAATGTTTTTAAGAAAACATTCAGTTCATCAAGGCTACATTTATTAAATGTAAAAAATGTTAAATTGTTAAATATTTATCAAAATTTTAAATAACTGTATAATAATAATAATAATAATTAATATTAGTGATTTCTGAAGGATCATGTGACTGGAGTAATGAAGCTGAAATTTCATCTTTAAAATCACTGGAATAAATGAATAAATTAAATGATAAACTACTTTTGAACAGTTATTTTATAGTGCAACATTTCACAATTTGTATTTATGATGAAATAATTGCAGCCTTGGTGAGCAGAAGAAGCTTAGTTTAACATATTTAACAATCATACTGACCCCAAACTTTTGACCAGTTGTGTATAGAATATTTTAGAAGCAAAAATGTGCACTTTAATTTTAACAACCCACAGACATCGTCACCGAATATAAAGCAGAGGTCAGACTTTCTCATATATTCAGAGCCTTATTTCAATTTTCAGGTTTTGTAAAAATCGATCTATTGAATTTATCAATCTATTAAAGAAACGTTGGCTAGAATTCTGCATTATAGGCTTAAATTATAGAGAGACATAGCAGATGAACCGAGACTGCATCAGATCAATGTAAATCTTTCTTTCGAGCTGTCAGTGCGGAAATGAACAAAACAACAGGCCTAATACAACATATTATACGATTAAAATATGGAAAAATTAACATAGTAATTTCGGTCAATTTTCCTGACGGATAAACCGAGATCAGGCTGGATAAACAGCTCTCGGTAATATTTCAGCATGCTTTCACTTTCGCATTTACCGGTAAGAATGACATCTGGCCCTGCTCATCATTTTCTCTTCATATAGCCGTATATATGGCTATTACACGATCGTAATACTCTGTGATATAGCCTGGGTCGTTAGTTCGTTGCATTGTTTTGTTTTCTCACTACAATCGATCCGCTCAATAGGGCAGAGACCGTCTCATTCAGGCGATCTCGAACTGATTGATTTGGCGCGGATGCGAGCGCAACTGCTGGATATATGCCAAACAAACTAACGGGGGAAACGAGACAGATTCCGAAACAAACGTCCATGTGTGAAAGCACCGTAAGATTGTAATTGCACACAATTGACAGACAGTCGCAGCACGCAGCTCTGGCTCAATCTGTCAGTCAACAAGGCAGCACTGTACACTGACCCGAGCGTCTCGCACGCTGGCCCCGGGCTATCGGGCAGTCCTTTTTGTCGAGCCCTGAAGGTTTAAGCTTTGACGATGGCTCTCCTGTGTCTGCACAGTTTAACAAGCAGTTCAACAAGCGTGTTTTTTCCCGCTTGGCAAGCCAAGCTGACGTGACATGGGGGCGTGGCAGCATCGACGATTCTATTTTTTGATTCGATAATCGAAATCGAGCATAAATTTCGATCGATTTTGATTAAAATCGAAATCGTGACACCCTTAATATATATATATATATATATATATATATATATATATATATATATATATATATATATATATATATATATATATATATATACACACACACACGCACACACACACACACACACATATACATATCCATACATATATATATATATATATATATATATATATATATATATATATATATATATATATATATATATATATATATATATACATATATATATATATACATACATATACATACATACATACATATACATACATACATACATATATATATATATATACATACATATACATATATACACACACACACACTGTGTGTTTGTGTGTATATATCTATGTATAAAGTTAATGTACAAACTAATTATCTTTAAATTATCATTAAACTATTACAATTTATACAATTTATCCATAACCTAAAGAAAATAAAAATAGTATTTAATAGTTACATAAAAACAACAAAATGCGAATAAAAAGCCATCAGCATTTAGTTTCTTTCTTTGGGATTGCAACCCCTGGGGTGTTTACATTATATTAACGACGCATCAGTTGCAGCAGATTGATTTTACGGCACGATGGTAAACTTTGACACCTTTATGGCACTCACATACATTGAAAATAAAGACCACGGCTGAACATGGAGGATGATCTCAAAGTTGGGGTCTCCAAAATTAAAGCAAAAATAGACTTGAGCTGTAAACATTGTGCCCACCAGTCTCATTAAATGAAATTATCATTCTTGTAAAATAACTGGTATGTATTGTCATCAGGGATCAAGGCACAATAACGGAGCTATGAGAAAATGAATGAATTAAAACTATTTTGTTTAAAAACATTTTAAAAATCTGTGTGTTCATATAAAGATAGAGTGTCAATGAAAAACATCAGATTATATGTCAAAATATGTCATTCCCCTGCTGAATAATCCAGCTTAAACCAACCTAGGCTGGTTGGCTGGTTTTAGCTGATTGACCAGGCCGGTTTTAGAGGGGTTTTGGCCATTTCCAGGCTGGTTTTCACCCATTTTCAGCCTGGTCTTAGCTGGACATAGCTGGTTTTGGCTGGGCTCCCAGTCTGGCTAGGCTGGTCAAGCTGGTTTTAGCTGGTCATCTCCCAGCCTGACCAGCTGAGACCAGGTTGGAAATGGCTTAAAACCAGCCTGGAAATGGATAAAACCCCTCTAAAAACCAGCCTGGTCGACCAGCTAAAACCAGCCAAAAAGCCTAGGCTGGTTTAAGCTGGATTTTCAGAAGGGTTTACGTCATATTTTGTATGTTTTGTTGTTGTACAGACTTATGCACAATAAATATTAACATCATACAAACGCAAAATAAAATACACATTTTATCCTCTTATTTTCCTCACTGAAGGTCCCAGTGGAGATGAACGCAGGTCAAGCTCTTGGAATGGAGATGCTTGCTACGTTTCTTCTGGGTTTCACTGTGTTTTCTGTGGAAGATCAACGCAGGAGAGAAATAAATGAACCTGGAAACTTAGCCATTGGCCTTGCTGTAACCACTGCGATCTTTATTGCTGTACGTTTGTCAATGTGTGTCTTCAATATGAATCGGTATATGTTGATTGTACTGTCCAGCACTTAAATAAATCATATAACACTGAAGAAGGTGTAGAAAATAATTAAAAAGTTCAATCTTTTTGACTTTACTAATGCCATGTAATAATGACATTTTAAAATATAATTTAGCTGCATGCATTTTTAATTGATTATTAGTGACACCATTATTCTGTCCTCATTCTGCCTTTATTATTGTAAATACACGTAACTGCTTTTAATGCTTGTGTTTGTCTGTGGATTTAGGGGAGATTTTCTGGTGCCAGCTTGAATCCCGCTCGCTCCCTTGGTCCTGCTATAATACTGGGATATTGGGAACATCACTGGGCAAGCAAAACTTTATGGCCATAAACTATTATTATTTTATAGTTAATATGTTGGGTGAATGGATGGAGGGATTGAAGGATGGAACTAACAATGATCATTTTGGAATCCATTAGGACGGATGAACTGAATGAAGAATTGGTGAGATGTGGATGAAAGGATGAAGGGTTAGGTTGAACTGGATAATAAACTGAAGGAAGGTCTGATGAAATGAGGTCTGATGAAAGGATAAACTGAACATTGATGATATATGGATGAAAGGATGAATAAGTCAAACAATGGCTTGAGGAATGGATTGAGAAAGACTATCAATTATGAATGAGTGGATGGATGGATGGATGGATGGATGGATGGATGGATGGATGGATAGAAAAATTGAGCAATAGATGAATGGATTAATGGATAAAATAATTGAGCAAAAGATGGATTGATTTTATAATTGAGCAATAGATGGATGGATTGATGGATAAAATAATTGAGCAATAGATGGATGGATTGATGGATAAAATAATTGAGCAATAGATGGATGGATTATATAATTGAGCAATAGATGGATGGATTGATGGATAGAATAACTGAGCAAAAGATAGATGGATTGATGTATAGAATAATTGAGCAATAGATGGATTAATTAAATAATTGAGCAATAGAGGGAATAATTAAATAATTGAGCAATAGATGGATGGATTGATGGATAGAATAATTGAGCAACAGATGGATTAATTAAATAATTGAGCAATAGATGGATTAATTAAATAATTGAGCAATAGATGGATGGATTGATGGATAGAATAATTGAGCAATAGATGGATTAATTAAATAATTGAGCAATAGAGGGAATAATTAAATAATTGAGCAATAGATGGATGGATTGATGGATAGAATAATTGAGCAACAGATGGATTAATTAAATAATTGAGCAATAGATGGATTAATTAAATAATTGAGCAATAGATGGATGGATTGATGGATAGAATAATTGAGCAATAGATGGATGGATTAATGGATAAAATAATTGAGCAAAAGATGGATTGATTTTATAGTTGAGCAATAGATGATTGGATTGATGGATAAAATAATTGAGCAATAGATGGATGGATTGATGCATAGAATAATTGAGCAAAAGATAAATGGATTGATGTATAGAATAATTGAGCAATAGATGGATTAATTAAATAATTGAGCAATAGATAGATTGATTGATGGATAGAATAATTGAGCAATAGATGCATGGATTGATGGATAGCATAGTTGAGCAATAGATGGATTGATTTTATAGTTGAGCAATAGGTGAATGGATTGATGGATAGAATAACTGAGCAATAGATGGATGGATAGATGAATAGAATAATTGAGCAATAGATGGATTAATTAAATAATTGAGCAATAGATGGATGGATTGATGGATAGAATAATTGAGCAATAGATGGATGGATTGATGAATAGAATAATTGAGCAATAGATGGATGGATTATATAATTAAGCAATAGATGGATGGATTGATGGATAGAATAATTGAGCAATAGATGGATGGATTATATAATTGAGCAATAGATGGATGGATTGATGGATAGAATAATTGAGCAATAGATGGATGGATAGCATAGTTGAGCAATAGATGGATTGATTTTATAATTGAGCAATAGGTGAATGGATTGATGGATAGAATAATTGAGCAATAGATGAATGGATTGATGGATAGAATTATTGAGCAATAGATGGATTAATTAAATAATTGAGCAATAGATGGATGGATAGATGAATAGAATAATTAAGCAATAGATGGATGGATTAAATAATTGAGCCATAGATGGATGGATTGATGGAGGTCTGGATAAAATGACGGAATAATGCAATGATGGATAAATTTATGGATTGATAGATGGATAAAATGATTTAACACTTGGATGAATGGATGAATTTGGTGAATGGATGACATCTTGAACTGAATGATGGATTAAGGAGTAAAGCATGTATGATTGATGGATGGATGAGGTATGGTATATGAATACTTAGAAACAACAGATATATTATTTATTATTATTGGATAGATGGAAAGAACGAATGAGGGATTGATGGATACACAATGATTGAATAATGGATATATAGAAAAATTGAAGAATGAACTGATATTTTAATATTTAGGGATGAATGGATGATGGATGGATGATTGAATGACTGAAATATATATAGAATGATTAAATAGCAGATAGATGGATGAAACAACTGAAGAATGGATTGATGAAAGTCCATTATGAATGAGTGGATCTGATTAAATTTCATTTTCTTCTCATTTATAGGTGTACTGGATCGGGCCAATATTAGGTGCAGTCCTAGCTGGAGTCTCTCATGAGTTTATTTTCGCACCGAGCGCATCCAGACAGAAGCTCGTGGCCTGCATGACCTGTAAGGACATTGAGATAGTGGAAACGGCCAGTGTGTCTCGATCGTCACTGTCCACAGTTACACAGAGCGCCATGAGACACAAACAAAACAACAAGCTGGAGCACAGCTGAGCTGACTCAGTTTTGCACATGTAGTCAGTCACACAAACAACTTTATTCATGACAAATCAACAGAACTGAGTTCTTAAATACCAGTCTTACATAAATTGCATTATGCAAGTTATTAAGAACAGATTTTTAACAACAGAAGTTTGTCCTGCTGGTGATTCACAAATGAGGCTCATCAAGCAAACATAATAGTTCTAATATATCGAATATTTCCAGGGTCACACTTTACAATATGTTAATATTAGTTCTGATTTACTAACATAAACAATGAAAAATGCATCTATTACAGTATTTATTCATCTTTAGTTAAAAGTCCTGTTAAGTGCTTTGAAATATGCATTTTTATTCTGTGTTTGATGTAATCTTAACCAAAACACAAACAGAGGACATAGTATAGCTCCTCCCCCTTTTAAAAAATCAGCCAATAGTGTTTTATCACAGCTCTGCCAGTGAGAGTAGTTGAGATCAAGTGCATCAAACGCAAAGCAAATGAGAAGCATCTTGAAGGGGGCGGGGCATGTCAGATACTAAAGAGCTTATGATTGGTTGTGATGCAATGAGAAGCTGTAGTGTAAGGTGACGTGAATAAAACTACTGATCTATTTGGGCAGAAGTGACAAACTACAAGCTTTTATATCTTCTAAATAAAAATTGTCACCGTTTTAAAGCACACTAGCTTAAAGATCAAATACTAGCTTAAAATCAATAATACTGAAACTAGCATCTAAAAAAAACTTGATTTTAATTTAATGGGACCTTTAATGAAAATAAAGATGTGTATTGGTACCAATGACTGTAAAAAATATGGACGACGCGACAGCCCTTTTTCCCATTAAACGCCTTGAGGGCAAAACGCCTGCTTGACGGGCACAAACTGTCGCAAAAGACTGCTGAAATTGGAGCCAGACATGCGCAGAAGGATTGTCTGATGGAGCCAGAGGAGGAGCCGCGAAAATGAGCAGAGTCGAGCTTCCAATCAAACGCTTTATGTAAAATCAACTACGCCCCCCGAACTTCTCAGCATGCGTTTGCTGTCATATCAACACAAATGGATGTAATAACGTTAACAAATATGAGGGTTTTATATATTCAAATCGCGCCAGCTCCAGGCCGCAGCGCATAACTTACTCGCGGCGTCGCGGGCTGATTCCGGCTCGCATGCGGCAGCGCCTGCTCGCTCGGCCGCGGCATCTGGCTCGATTGACTCGGGCTGGAATTGGGTAGTGAGTCCAGGCATCCGGAGTAGGTCCAGCAGAGGTAACATTAGTCAGTCTGAGCTCTAAGAGATAAGTCTCCGGCAGGCGAGAATCTAGCCGGAACTGTGTTTTGCCATCTGGGTGGCTAGGCGTGTATCAGCAAACTAATAAAGCCCGAAAAAAGCCCTGAACTTAGCGAATAAACAGTGTTCCACCAGGATCATGTATGTCAGAAACTATAGTTTACTGCTGAACTCATTTTGTCATGGTAAAATAACACAGAAATCGAATAATAACATTTCAGTCTACTTCAGTCTCCTGCCGAAGCTCAGACGCCGCGCTTTGAGAAACTGTCAATCACGATGACACGCCCAGCATTAAATTACTGCTAAAAACAAACTGTTTACAAAAATGAAGATCTGCACCTATTTCAGCACAATAACCAGTGCCTTAATCGACCAGAACTATCTTTCGGGACATTTTATTGCAAGTGTAATATTTTTTTTTATTTGGGCTCAAGTCTCCTTCATTAACACGGAGGAGGCGGGCTTTATGACTTGTACTGCAGCCAGCCCCCAGGGGGCGATCTAACGGCCGAAACCTTCACTCAAACGTAGGCTTGCGGCACACTTGATTGGTACTCGCAGTGCATTAACTAAAGCTAACAAACACAATTTTGAATTTAATAGGGTATATGCGGAGCTAGAGTTTCTTTCCATACCGATAAACTTCCAGTGAACGCTTAATGCGACTTTTTTTTTCAATTTTAAGCGATTCCTTTTACAGCAACGATGTTGTAATATAAATAAAATATAATCAGTTAAATAGACTTTGGCATTCATCTAGTTGTTCACGCGTAAAATGAGATGAAACGCATGCGCCCGTCAGGATCAGCAGGCTAACGCAGACTCCATTAAACTCCATTAAAAATACTGGGGTAAAATAAATGTTCATATTTTAAAGACACAGCGCGGAAAAAGTCATTTAATGCAGTGTTTCTTGGAGAAACTAAAGCCAACTTTACATCTTATATCAATCAGACAGTGAAGATTACTTTTAAAGAGAACAGACCTTAAACTCCCCGATTTTGTAACTCAGTTCACCGGAAGCGCTTGACCCAGATTACTGACAAATTAAAAGTCCTTCTGCATATACCCTATAATGCATTAGTAAATGTTGAACTGGGATTAATGAATGCTGTACAAGCCTTTACATTCACATTAGTAAACATATATTAACTAACATTAACTAAAGGAAAATTACTGTAAAGTGTGACCAGTTCCTAAAAGTCTGTCAATATAAAGAATACTCTATTGTGGATTAGAAGCAGTACCTTAATCTTTGTACAAAACCCTAAGCATGCACATGGATAGATATAAAAGTGCCAAACATATGTCTATGTGGCTTGAGCTTAACATTTTATTTCAAAGATATCATATATTTTCTTAAATCCACCGTTAATAATTGCAGAATTAAATTGGACTGCTATAGTTCAGTGTTGAACAGCTTTTCAAGTGTTATACATGTCCGTTTGTTTGTTGATTGTGCCATTTTAACCTTAGTTTAATTATATATTCTGTTGCAAATAAATTGTACACAATATACTTTGCTTTAGGGTAATGAGATTGACTTTCAGATTTATGAGTAATGAGATCCTTTAAATTCATTGTACAAATAATATTGAGCATTAATATTGTTTAAGTTATATCAAATAGGAGTAAAAGAAAACCACACATACCTTTGCTTTTTCATTTCCTTGCATGACAAAAATTTAATGTGTTTGTACACTTAAAACTGCCGTGCTACAACTTGCACTAATCCTAACTTGTAATTGCAGCAGAATTTAATAAACTATTATTAACAATCAGTTTCTCTGTGTTCTTACAAAAACATTTTAAACTCCTGTTCATTGCAAAATATTCACTGCCAACGCACACACAATGTTTGCAAACACACACACACACACAACAAACACACACACAAACACGTTCCACATTCATGCTTGAGTCTACATATATACATCATACACAGCAACTATTAATGACACACACATACACTAACACAATGCAGAACAGACACACAGTGCCAGCCAGCATTTTGTTTTGTCCAGCATGCATGTGCATGAGTGTGTGTTTGTATGAGTGTATGTGTGTAAGTGAGGGGGTGAAAGCGGTGAGATCAGCAGTCCTAATTCACCATCAGCTCCACTAACAGAGGGATTTTCCAGGGCTTTATCTGGCTATGAGGCCCTCCGCCCCTCCACAACCGATCTGCTCTACTCACAATACAAACCTCTACCTAATCACTTCTGCCCTGAACAAACCAGAACCACCAACATCTCTCACTCATATGGAAATAAAGTGCATTGTACATTCGAAAATCGGATAAATACATTTTATTTAAAATGTTCTTTAAGAAAGAAGAACATTAGAGGCACACATGCATGGATGGATGGGTATAATGGGCAATGGATGGAAAGAACAACTGATTGATGAATGGAAGACATTTTCTAAATGATTAAAGAATGAATGGAATGATGGAATGATAAATGATGCATTAAATGATTGATCAATTCATGGATGTATGGATGGAATGATGGATAGATGATGGAATGATGGATGGGTTATGGAATAATAGATAGAATGGATGGATGGATTGATGGATGATAGAACAACTGATCGATGAACGGAGGAAGTTTTCTAAATGAACAAAGGATGAATGCATTGATGGATGGATGTATTTAATGATTGACCAATTGATGGATGCATGGATGGAATGATGGATGGATGGATGGATATAGATTGATGGATGGGTATGATGAACAATGGATGGATAGAAGATGCATGATAGAACAACTGATCGATGAACTGATGAAGTTTTCTAAATGAACAAAGGATGAATAGATTGATGCATGAGTGTATTTAATGATTGAACGGATGTATTCATATAATTGATGGATGTATGAATGTTAGATAAAATGATGGATGGGTATAATGAGCAATGGATGGAGGGAAGATGGATGAAAGAACAACTGATTGATGAATGGATAAAGCTTTCTAAATTGACAAAGGATAAATGGATTGATGTATTAAATGATTTACCAATTGATAGATGTGTGGATGGAATAATGGAAGGAATAAATTATTCATGGATGATGGAATGATGGGTGGATGAACGATGGAATTATTGATTGATTGGATGTATAGATGGATTGGTATAATGAGCAATAGATGCATGGAATATGGATGGAACAACTAAATAATAGAACAACGAATACAATTTTCTGAATGATCAAAGGATAAATGGATTGATGGATGGATGTATTAAACAGTTGATCAATTGATGAAATGATGGATGGATAATGAAATGATGGACAGATGAAATGATGGAATGGATGGAATAAATGGACGCATGGGTATGATGAATGGAAGATGGATAGAACAACTGATTGATCAACAGATTAAGTTGAGTATAGTCGGAATGATGGATGGATGGAAAAATGGATGATGGAATAATGGATAGATGGATGGATGGATGGATGATGGAATGATTTATAGAATAAATGGATGGATAGATGGTATACTGAGCAATAGATGGATGGAAGATGGATGATAGAACAGCTGATTGATGAACGGATGAAACTTCCAGAATGAATGATGAATAGATTGATGGATAGATGGATGGATGTATTAAAATGATTGACCAATTGATGGATGTATGGCTGTATGGATGGAAAGATGGAACAGATGGATGGATGGATGGATGGATGGATGGATGGATGGATGGATGGGTATAATAAACAATGGATGGATAGAAGATGGATAATAAAACTGATTGATGAACGGATTAATTTTCTGAATGATCAAAGGATGAATGGATTGATGGATGGATGTATTAAATGATTGATCAATAATGAAATGATGGATGGATAATGAAATGATGGAATGGGTGGAATAAATGGATGGATGGGTATGATGAACAAGAGATGGATGGAAGATGGATAGATAGAACAGTTGATTTATTAACAGATTAAGTTCTCCCAGTCATCGAAGGATGAATGGATGGATGGAAGATGGATGGAAAGAACAACTGATAATCAACGGATTACGTTTTTCAAATGAATAAAGGATGAATGGATTGATGGATGGATGTATTAAATGATTGATCAACTGATGGATGTATAGATGAAATGATGGATGGAAAAATGGATGATGGAATCCGTTGGGTGGATTGATGATGGAATAATGGATGGATGATGAAATGATGGATGGATGGAATGAATGGATGGATGGTATAAGGAGCAATAGATGGATGGAGGATGGATGACAGAACAGCCGATCGATGAATGGATGAAGTTTCCAGAATGGATTGATAGATAGGTATTAAATGATTAATTAACTGACAGATGTTTAGATGGAATGATGGATGGATAGATAAATGAATAGATGATGGAATAATGGATGTATGGATAAATGATGGATGGATGGATGGATGATGGAATACTGGATGGATGGATGAAGAAATGATGGATGGATGGATGGATGGAACGAATGGATGGATGGATGGATGATGGAATAATGGATGGATGGATATATGATGGATGGATGGAATAATGGATGAATGATGACATGATGAAATGATGGATGGATGATAGGTATAATGAGCAATAGATGGATGGAAGATGGAAGATAGAATGACTGATCGATGAATGGATGAAATTTCCTAAATGAATTGATAGATGGATATATTACAATAATTGACCAATTAATGGATGTATGGATGGAATGATGGAATTGTTGGATGGATGGATATAATGAGAAATGGATAGATTGAAGTTGGATGATAAAAAATCTGATCGATTAACGGATACATTTCTTAATTATCAAAGGAAGAATGGATTGAAGGATGCACGTATTAAATGATTGATCAACTGATGGATGTATAGATGGAATGATGGATGGATGGAATAAATGGACAGATGGGTATGATGAACAACGGATGGATGGAAGATGGATGGATAGAACAATAGATTGATGAATGGATTAAAAAATGTTGAGCAATGGACAGAATCGAAAACCCCTTTCACACATACAGACCTTTCTGGAAAATTACCGGAAATTTTCCGGAAAGGTTGTATGTGTGAACAGGCCCTTTTTAAAATACCGGTAAATTCGTTCTGGCTATTTTCTGGAAAGAGAAGTTGTAACATTACCGGTAATTTGCCGGAATGCTGCGCTGTGTGAATGCAGAAGGAAGATTGCCGGAAAGAGCGCTTGCACGTCTAGAACGTGCTGACGTGAAATGTCTACTTTAGCCAATCAGAACAGTCAGACGCATTCGCGTGTGCGCGGTTTATGAGAATAAAAGCCTTTGAATATTTTTCCAGACACCTTTAGCTGCTTGATGTTAGTCAGATAACGTTTCTATGTTCCTTCTTAATGCTAACTGAGTAAATAATTATCAATAAAATGTTTATGATAATCCATTGTTTGTTTACCTTCAAGCTTTGCGTGTGCCTGTGAGCGCCCATAGCGCCAGCACACACACATTATCAAGTACATCTCGACATGCGAAAGTGTTTCTCTGTTTTCATTGGAGTTGTACTCAATACTGATCCATCCAAAGAATTTGTAATGTAGTCAAATGTTTACAAACACAAGCGCAGCCGTTTAGAGGTCATTTCTGGAAAATGATGTCAGAATTTACCGGCATTTTGGAATGGATGTGTGAATGCTCTTTTCCGGAAAAATTCCGTAATGTCCTTGCCTGTGTGAACAGTGCTTTTTTGACCTTACCGGTAAAGTCGTTCCGGAAATTTTCCGGATATTTACCGGTATCACTGTGTGAAAGGGGCTATAGACAGATGGATAGATGGATGAAATTACTGAAAGATCAATGAATGAATGGATCCAATGAGAATGAACAAATGGCAGATTGGTAAAGCCACCAAACAATAGATGCCGGGATGGATAGAAAGATCTGTGGATGGATAGACAGACAGCAAGTGCAGGAGACAGACTGGAGGTCTAGCAGAGAGACAGATAAAGGATGTTGTTCCATGTTAACTTCATGCTCTGAGGAACAATGGCTTTCCTGTGCTCAGGGCTTTTTCTGGCTGCATGTATCTGAACACCGCTGGGTTTCACTCAGCGCAGGGCCTCCCTTGAGCCACAGGGATGGACCAACATTGTGTGTGTTTGCAGATGCGTGACATTATCCAGAGGATCTGTGTTTTCTGCCCATGTTTGGGTTCTAACCAGTCAAACCAGCCACAGTGAATCCATATTAATGGAAATGTAAAAAAAACACACACCTTTTTGCTGATTTGAATGATCTAGTGCATGTTATAAGCACACATACATTAGAAAAGCACATTTTATTGAGCAATTTCATAATTCGAGATGTCATTGCTGTATCTGTTCTGTACTTTTGAGCACTTTTAAGTTCCCCTTCACCCTTAAAATACGTCTCCATCACATTGAGCCCTGATGTTCCTCTCTTAATCTCACCCTCTTTGAGTTTAATGGACAGAAAAGCGAGTGCGGTCTGCTTGATATGGGATGCTCCCTTTAGCTTCTGTCCCTCAGGGGGGATTATGTCGTCACGCTGGGCCCCGAGGCCATTATAAATGCCCCCTATGGCCCCTTTGTGGTCTGTCAGACCAGCTCTACTTGGTGTGGGCAGGATATGCTCTGTAACCTCTTCTGTGTCGCTCAACTAGAATTAGCCCTATAGATTTAGCTTGTAGCATCGATGTTCAGGCCTCTCTGACAAAACCCTCCAGATTTTCTACGCGTGCACACACACACACAACCACACACACCTCATGTTTCTTTAGCAGTCCGGGTGTTGTGCAGGCGAAGAGAAACAGCGCTGGCAGAGAAGACCCGTGTGCGGCTACATGTGTGACCATTTACTCACGGCTTCCCACACAGCCTTAGCTAACGGCTAGATCTATTAGGCCTAATTATTGATCTGTTTTTGAGGAACTTTTAGTGTACTTGGCAAAAAAAAAGGACATTTTATTTTTTTTAAAGACATTTTTCTTGCCAACTCGAAAAAACAAACAAAAAAGTTTCGGTTTTGAATTTAGTTGGGACTCATAAATCATAATGTGGGAGTTTCGCTCTATGATGTTTTGGAGGGCGGTGTTTGCCGAGTTTTTCGGCACCATGTTCTTCGTGTTCTTCGGGATGGGTGCCGCTCTACGCTGGACCACCGGGCCGTACCATGTCTTCCACACTGCTCTCTGCTTTGGTTTTGCTGCTGCCACACTCATTCAATCCATCGGCCACATCAGCGGAGGACACATTAATCCGGCTGTCACCTTTGCATACTTAGTCGGCTCTCAGATGTCTGTGTTCAGAGCTTTCTTCTACATTTGTGCTCAGTGTCTGGGGGCCATGGCAGGAGCCGCGGCGCTCTACGGAGTTACACCCAACAACATGAGGGGCACGATGGCACTTAACACGGTAAGAATGTCACCGGGAATTGTATTTTATTTCATTAAAAGTTTAAAACAAAACTATTTTGCAAATATGTGATTTAGTAATGTATAAAATCTCTATTTGTTGTATTCATACACATAAAAAAATAGGACTTTTAAACGTTAATTCCTCCTCGTTTTTGTACCTGTTGATGTTTCTCTCCAGCTTCAGCCTGGCATGAGTCTGGGAATGGCCACCACAGTGGAGGTGTTCCTCACTATGCAGTTGGTGGTCTGCGTTTTCGCTGTCACTGATGAAAGAAGAAATGGACGTCTGGGTTCTGCTGCTCTGTCCATTGGATTCTCTGTTACTATGGGCCACCTGATGGGGGTGAGAAACAATATTTCAGTACAAACGTGTTATAAGTACTATATTAGGCAGGTATAAGCACTAAGTAGGCAGTACACCAAACATGTATCATGTTGTTTATCTTTTTCAACCAGATGTACTACACTGGAGCTGGAATGAACCCAGCCAGGTCTTTCGCCCCTGCTGTAATCACCAGGAATTTCATCAACCACTGGGTAAGAAAAACAAATCTGGACGCATAAACTACTGATTTACACATACAGAATTATATATTTTTCTCTTCTAATGACACAGACCAACACAATCTCACAGAAATCCATAACTTTTTGATTTAGTGGCTAATTCGTATGAATTCGTATAATCTCATTCGTACAATTTAGTACGATTTGCTTATCCCTCAATGACGGTTGGGTTTGGGGGTGGGGTTTGGAGCCATGCCTCCTTTTTAAAATCGTACATTTTCATGACTGATCTCTTACAAATAAGCCACTAACAAAACGTAATATACTCACATTTCCATGTGAGATTAGGCTGGACAGACAAGCAAGTAGACAAAAAGACAGAAAAACAGACTAATAGATATCTTTTCACTTATAACAGACAGATAGACAAATAGATAGAATAGATGTTTTCTCTTCTGACAAGACAGACAGATAGATAGATAGATAGATAGATAGATAGATAGATAGATAGATAGATAGATAGATAGATAGATAGATAGATAAATACATGAAAACGATATGTATATCATTTATTCAATTTTTTTTTTTACTTAGTCCCTTTACTAATCTGGAGTTGCCACAGCGGAATGAACCGCCAACTAATCCAGCAAGTTTTTACGCAGCGGATGCCCTTCCAGCGAGAGGGGTCTGGCTGCAGACCTGGTGCAGTGCAATCTGGGCTGCATCCAATGCTTTTTAATGGGCTCACCTAACCCCACCCCTAACCCTACCCGTCACAGTGACGTCACTAGCTCCACTTGAGTGCATTGTGTCTGACATAGCATCGCTTAGTGATGAAGTCTCAGCTTGCATCTTAAAGGCTGCATCCAGATACCATTGCTTCCAGCCGCAACCCATCTCTGGGAAACGATATATATATATATATATAATTTGCATTTATTTCCAATTATTTAAATTTCATATATACAAAATATGTGTCCTATACGCAACATATATTTCGAAATATTGCGAAAATGGCTGCTTGCATACACACATACTTCCAATGGTTGGACAAAATTATACGCATACAGCCATTTTTGCAATATTTTAAAACATATGTTGCATTTATAAAATTCAAATCTGAACGTGTGTGTTGTATATGTCATTTGTATATATTGCCATATATCCGATCTCTCTGTGGGGCTAAATAAAATCCCTCTTCTTCTGGTGTGATAGGTGTACTGGGTGGGTCCGATGATTGGTGCTGCTATGGGTGCCATCTTCTATGACTTCTTCCTGTTCCCCCGTATGCGGGGCTTCTCTGAGCGGCTAGCCACGCTGAAGGGCAGTCGACCCCCAGAGGCCGAGAACCAGCAGGAGACCCGCGGGGAGCCCATCGAGCTCAAGACTCAAACCCTATAAACCTGCAGAGAAGTTGTGGACCGAATCTGGCTCTACCTCACTGGACCATCTCACTGCCCTGAGCAGCCAATAAAACTCCTGCGACGCAACACCAGAGACCCGCAGAGGGTCGCATTTACACGGCAAGATCAGTAAGGGAGCAGAAATGAGTACATTACTCCGGGTAGTATTCTAGGTTTGCTGCTAGTACCAGTGCAGGGTGGAGGGCGGTTCTGAGGTGGGGTTGTGGGCGGGGCTTATGTTGTGGGAGGGGCTGTAGCAATTTATTTAGGCATGCTTTTCACTTTTCATCTGACTTCATTTTCACAATTCATTTTCAATTTTTCGTTTTCTACAAACAACAAGATGTGGATGTACGCAACTTAACCAGGGTTTCACACTTTTTATTTTCTGTGAGAGTTCAAGTGAGTGCAGCTTTGTGGGTCTTTCTGTGTGTGTGTGTGTGTGTGTGTGTGTGTGTGAGGGAGAGCGTGCCAAGGTATGTTTGTGTGTTTCGCTTGTGCACGACCAAGTGTACTGTATGTGTGTGTGTGTGAGTGAGTGAGTGTGTCTGTCATCTGAGCATTTCTTTTGGGTTTTTATCATTACAGCTCGCTCGTGTTTGTACCATGCTTGTTTTTTTTTCCCTTTCTTATTTTTACGGGACTCTAAAACACCCCAAACTGTATTGTTTGCTATGATCTTCCATTCACTTTTTATTCACACAAACCACCCATGGACTGAGCTGTTTTAAACACAGCCAGTCCTTGCCACCAGTCTTTACAATTACTTCGAGTTTACAGTGTCTGTGTTGCCTTTCATAAAATCTTGTTTGAGGATAACATCCATGACTGGGCAAGTAAAGCAATATGAATCATATCTGAATGCAAATAAATACATGAAAAGAAACGGCTCGGTGTATATCATTCAAATTACACAAGATGGCGCTGTACAACAGTTTGTGTAATGTCAACTCAAAACTGCTGAAGATTTTTTATTTTATTAAAAAAATATATATATATTTTATTATTTTTATTAATTTAATTATGGTACATTAATAAAGCATTAAAAAACACAATGAATAAGAATGTGCACTCTTAAAAATTAAGGTGCCATTAAGAACCAAATAGTTTTCCTTTTCATTGTTTTATAATGTTTCAAAACCTTTTTGATAATAACCTTTTAGATTAAAAAAAAAAAAATCATAGTGTGAAGACCATCTAAAAAAACTCGTCATTATAAAGAATCTTTTGTTGAATGGAAAAGTTCCCCGGAAATAAAGGATGAACTTTTAAGACAGTGCACTGTCGGTTTGTCCTACCTTGTCAAATTGTCCTACCTCCCATTCAAAGAGTAGATAGCACATTTTGATGAAGCAATCATCTGCTCATCAGATTCTGCTACCAGTGTCATTTTTTATTTTATTTATTTTTATTAGTTTCATCTTAGGTCAGACGTTAAAATATACATAATATTGATACATATAGATATACGCACTGATACAATTCACCAAACAAGAAATTATCAGGAAAACAATCAACACTAAATAAGTATAGAAATAAAGATAAAATACCACATTTATACACAAAGATATACAAACATAAGATAACAAAAATAAAAGAATAAACTAATAAAAATAAATAATAATAAATAAAAATAAACATTACAAAAAAAAGAAAGGTAAAAATGCAATTAAGATATGTGCGTCTCCTTAAAAATGTATAAAAGGGCTCGAGACTTTCTGGAACTGTTCTGGCTTTTGTTTTATTGCAAACCGAATCTTTTCCATCCAAAGAGCATGCAGGAAATCAAAACCCCATTGCTGATAAGAAGGGAGAGCTGCTGATTTCCAATTCATAAGAATAAGTCGTCTAGCCAGTACGGTTGCAAAGGCTACACTATCGGCCTGTAATTAATTTAATTCAGCATATTCTGGCAGGATTCCAAACAGTGCTGTTAAGGGGTTTGGGTCTTTTGACAATGAAAAAACAGCAGAAAAACACCTGAATTTTTTCCCCAAAAGTTAGACAGTTTCAAACACGACCAGAATGTATGCAACAGTCCAGTGTCAATTTTAATGTGGAGTGTGATATGAAGCTGTATTATCGACCTAATCCCTAACCCCAACCTCAGAACCATTCAAATACAGTGTTGGCATAATCTGACGGGTAGGATAAAATGTCAAGACGCCGGTTCTTTATTGGTCATGTACTGGTACAAAGCTGGTTCTGGGCAGTAAAGAACAATCCAAAAAAAAAAAAAAAAACCTGCTTAAACCAGCAGCCATGTGTCAAGCTAACCAGCTTATGCCTTCTTTCAGCAGGGAAGGTTTTAGCAAATCTATCTGATCAGCAACATTGTAGCTATTTGTTGGTCTAATGAAATACTACTTAGAAAATGAGAAGGCTAAAATATAAGGAGCCTGCTTTATAAAACAAATCATAATTCATGCAAATGAATATATTACAAATAAAATTGTCTAGAAAAAATAGAAAACTATTTTGTTTGTAAACAGTTGTGGGTTCTATACTTTTATTATTAATATTGTTAACTCAACATATTTTATTACAGTTTGAATAACAATTAAATAAATAAATAATAATCAGGCCTAGATAACTAATGTTTCTGTGAACATAAAATGCTACAAATTCTAGTTTCTGTTCAATTTAACTGGAAATACACATTCATTCATTCATTTTCTTTTCGGCTTATAGTCCCTTTATTAATCTGGGGTCGCTACAGCAGAATGAACCGCCAATTTATCCAGCACGGTTTTACACAGCAGATGCCCTTCCAGCCGCAACCGATCTCTGGGAAACATACATTCACACATACACTACGGACAATTTAGCTTACTCAATTCACCTGTACCACGTCTTTGGACTTGAGGGAATACCGGAGCACCTGGAGGAAACCCACGCGAACGCGGGGAGAACATGCAAACTCCACACAGAAATGCCAACTGACCCTGCCGAGGTGAGAACCAGCAACTTTCTTGCAACCTACTGCGCCACCGCGTCACCAAATTTAAATTCACTACTACTACCCAAATTAGTTTTTTTTAGCAGTTGTCTAGTTCCAAGACTATCCAGATTTCCATCCACGCCTGTAGCGTCTGTAAATTGCGTTGTGGTGGAGTTTGCGAACTTTTAAAAATCGCGCGCAGCCCTCGTTTTATAGTGGCCAGCATTCAAACAGAGCCAACTATACAAAATTTTTTACATTAATAATTGTGACTACCTTGCACTGTTAGCGGTGTCTCTGCTGATAAGCGTTGTTGTCGAGCAGCTTCAGGTCTTCATGCAGCTGAACTGAATAACTGAAGTAGTACTGAAGAGTGTAGTTTGCAGCGCCCTCAGTTGGTGAAAATCACCTGTACCTAATCAAGGCCACGAAACGTCATGCTCAAAATTACTCCCAACTCCTGGATCTTTGTTCATCACAGTTCTTCGGCTTCGTACCTGTATTCTTGAGCAAATGTTAGCAAAAAAAAAAAAAAAAAGGTTACGACTATGATAATCAAAATCAAGCCAGTTTTGAATTCAAATCAAGTATATGCAAAGATTAAAGAACTTGACCCTGACATCAGTTTTACATTATGATGCTCTTGTATGTCCAAATGAATAGCCAGATAATCTTCACTCGCTTCTCCAACTTCCAGTTTTAAATCTTGTTTTTTTTTTTTGTGTCCACTTCTGATGCTGGACAGGGGTTATCATTGACACTCCGACATTGATCTTTTTGGCATAGTCCCTTTTATTAATCTGGGGTCGCCACAGCGGAATGAACCGCCTATATTATAGTGTAATGCATTCAAATTTAGTGGCCCACATTAGACCTTCTTTTGGCCTGGACAAAAGGGAGTCTTTAATTTCCTTAAATAGCCTACCATTAGGGTCAGGATTTTTTTTTGTGCAACTTAAAAGAAACACATCACTTTCCTTTTTTGAGAGTGTAGTTCCCAGACATATTGACCTAGAAAACAGCAACATTTGTATTTCCAGTCGGTAAAAATACAAAAGAGCCAATCTTAAAATAGGTAAATTATCTCAGTTTTATTAATATTCGATCATTCATTTTTGATTGAGATGCTACTGGTCTAATCTGATTCAATTATTTATGCTAAGCTAAGCTAAAAGTACTCTCTCCAGACTTGTAGATCGGCTGAATGGATTCAAAAGCTGTTTAAATATACTGTTTAACTCTATGGGACTTGTAAAACAAGCCTATTTTCAACAAAGTGGAGTGTTTCTTTGACCTACAGATGGTGCATGAGAGAAAGACCTATTATTTAGGAGAGAAAATAATGGGAAGATCTCACACAGCGCACAATCGTTTGGACTGGTTGGGGAAGGACGGTTTGTGACGTCGCTCACAGGTGCTCATTTGGATTGAGGTCTGAGGCCTTGAGCATAAAACTTCTCATAGTTTCCATAGTGATAGTTTGCCTACTCGCAAAAAAACATATAAAGCCCCGCACTAAGCCCTAATGCCCTGCCTTCCTTCATTTGCATAGGTTTGTATGCACGTCCGTGAACTCTTGGATTGACTCCAGCTCTTCCATTTGAAGAAGCCGTAAACGGTGGTTAAACTGCCTTGGGTTGTTCATCGTAAGCACATGTACACTTCCGTGTTTCTCAATGAACTTGCCTGCAGGAACAAAGAAGGTTTTAAAGGAGATGGAAAAACCCTTAACTGACAAATAATTGAAATGGATGATAAAAGAAATATAATGAAGATTACTTTAGGGTCAGAAAGCAAATTGGGTGAAAACTATCATCATCATCATCATCAAAAACAAACACACACAATGAAATAAACATCATATATTCATATACATTTATACCATGGTTAAGAGAAGACACCGGCAACAATGGAATTACCTGTACCAATTCGTCAACTTTGAATTTAAGTGATTCTGAGATATTGAGCTTCAAAGTTTTGCCATTCCATATAGCAAACAATATGCGTGTCACACGTCTCTTTCATACATTAACATGACATGAGACCCTAAATGTACTCTAAATGTACATTATTAAAGCTCTCTTACATTTCCAAATTGGACTAAAAAAACATGGTAAATGCAGATTGAACCTTTAAATTAGTAGTAGTAGTTGAAGTAGTATATGTAGTAGTAGATGTCGTTGGTATAGTGGTATCATAAGTAATGGATGTGTAGTAGTAGTAGTCGGTGTAGTAGTATTAGAATTAGTAGACATAGTTGATGTAGATTTTGTAGTAGCAGTCATTCAATTCAATTCAATTCAGCTTTATTTGTATAGCGCTTTTACAATGTAAATTGTGTCAAAGCAGTTTCACATAAATGGGCATAGTAACTGGATCAGGGTAGTTCAGTTTTTAGTGTTTAAGTTCAATTCAGTTTAGCTCAGTTCAGTGTGGTTAGAAATCATTACTGAGAGTCCAAACACTGAAGAGCAAATTCATCGATGAGTAGCTTTTCAGATCCTGAAACGTGCAAGCCAGTGGCGACAGCGGAGAGGGAAAAAAACCTTCACCAATAGGAGAGTGAAGAAAAAAAACCTTGAGAGAACCAGACTCAGTTCGGCACGACCATTTTAATTTCTCCGCTGGCCAAAAGTCTTGTGCAGAGCTGCAGTCTCAGCAGTGGAGTCCGTAAGCTGGCCTCAGCGAACACTCGTCTGTCCCTGGAGTGTCACTGGAATCAGTCTCATGTTCTCCACTCTACTATGACCAACAGCGCAGCAGCAGCTCAGGATACGGCCTGGTCCCGGAAATGGACATCTTGGGATTATCTCGTCGCTGGTCTTGGATCCAATCAGTGACTCCGCATAATCTGAGGACCTCGGGATGAGTATCCCCAGGTGGAAATGGAAAAGTAGTCCTTTTAATAGTATCAGTAGTAGTAGACATTGTAGTAGTAGTAGTAGTGGTGGTTGTGGCTGTAGTAGCAGTAGTAATCTGTAAGTCTAAAATCTGAGTCAACTCCCTGCTGAAAAATCCAGCTTAAACCAGCCTAGGATGGTTGGCTGCTTTTAGCTGGTCGACCAGCCTGGTTTTAGAAGGGTTTTGGCCACTTCCAGGCTGGTTTCCAGCCATTTCCAGCCTGATTTTAGCTTGTCAGGTTGGGAGATGACCAGCTAAAACCAGCTTGACCAGCCTAGCCAGGCTGGGAACCCAGCAAAACCAGCTAAAACCAGGATGGTCAAGCTGGTTTTAGATGGTTTTAGCTGGTCACTTCCAGGCTGAAAATGGCTGGAAACCAGCCTGGAAGTGGCCAAAACCCCTCTTAAACCAGGCTGGTCAACCAGCTAAAACCAGCCAAGCTGGTTTAAGCTGAATTTTTCAGCAGAGCTGTTTGTACAAAGACGTATTCTGAATCAAAACATTCCCATAAAGGAAAATACATGCAGCAAACTCAAACAAAAAAAGGTCAGTTTTTTGTAAATGGCTTTATTTTGCATGTTCTGGTCTCATGGCTTTACTGTAAGGTATTTCCAATCGAGTGTCTGAGGGCCGATAAATGAAAACACTTTGAAAACAAACCGATTGTCTTGGCAAATTATCCTGTTGTGCTGTTCAACCGCCCCTCTGTCAGGTTTTTTCTCTCTTGCTGGCATTAGTCCTGTAGTGTCACTTGTGGAGCAATACCAATGGCAACCCCTGACATTAGTCACAATACTCTTGCTTTTGACTTGTCCGCAGATCAAAATCGACCGAAAACATCTAAAAAAGTACCATGGATCAAAGAAATTGGAATATAATTAATACTCGATATTTCAATGTGTGTTTCCTACAGCGCGTCTTGAATCCTCGTGTTACTGGATTAAACATCATTACAATCTACGTGGAGCTATTATGATGGAGAGAGGAGTCTACATGAACTGAAGAGGTGACAGTCTCTGTAATGCTACGTTTCTAGAAAAGTTATCTAAATCTGGAAAAAGTCAGGTTAAAAAAAATGCACGTTTTTGCTCAGAGAGATAAAGGGAAGCACATCTGTGTCATAAGAACAGCTATAGAAAATAAAAAAGGAGAAGTCTCTAAGGCTTTGTGCTTAACAGATCTTCCTGCAGATCATCCAAGCGGTATATAAATGCACACTGTTGTTCAAAAGTTAGACTTTCAATAAAAGAAATTAATACTTGTAGTCAGCAGGGATGCCTTAAATCGAGCAAAAGTGACATTAAAACATCTTGAAAATTACAAACGATTTCTACTTCCTATATATTCAACAAAGAATCCTAAAAAAAAAGATCATTGTTTACAGAAGGATGTTAAGCAGATAAAATAAATGGTTTCGTAAGCACCAAATCATCCTATTAGGATGATTTCTGAAAGACACTGAAATAAAGACAGCTGAAAACTCAGCATGGCGTCACAGAAATAAATTACACTTTAAATAGATCACAGTTATTTTAAATAGTAACGACAATATGACAGCTTTTTTTTTTCTTCTTGTTTTTAAATCAAATAAATGCATCCTTGATGAACATTCTTTAAAAAAAACAAACTTTTGAACAACAGTGTGTGTATAATCTCTGATTTATCATCATTTACTAAATCCCGATCCCTGCAATCCACCATTTATTAACCTAACAATCATCTACCGATAATAGAATATTGAATAATAAGAGTAACCTGTCCGAAAAGGTCCATAAAGCGACTGACGAAAAAGCCCTTTGTGTGCGACTCCAGTCACAGGCTGATGATGTCACAGTTCCCTGTCCCACAATGACCGTGTTCTAGTGCAATTTCAGCATTGGTCCCCCGTTTCCCGTTCTAGAGGCGGTCGGTGTGGAGCTGGTGTGGAGGGATCTGGATGAAGGCAGTGGATGGGGCTCCTCCTCCGGTGGACAGTGGGTTTGGGATGGGGGTGGAGATGGCGGAGGATGGCCCGGCGGTGCCTGGAGGGTACATGTAGCTGAGGAACCCTGGCGAGGCGGCGTAGGGGTACTGCTCGAAGGCGGAGGCGGCGTACTGGGCGTAGGCAGTGCTGAAGTCAAGGTAAGGGCTGCTGGAGGTGGAGGAGACCTGTGTGGGCAGAAGCAGACTGGGCTGCAGGACGGCCTGAGGGTAAACATATGGCTGGCTGAGTCTGAGAATGAGAGAGAGAGAGAGAGAGAGAGAGAGAGAGAGAGAGAGAGAGAGAGAGAGAGATGGGGAGTTAGAAAATCTTTAGATCAATCTAAACATTTAGCACAGTAATACACATACTAATGAAAGATTGTCCAGGGTTTCTGCAGGTTTCACAAAATCAAATTTAAGATCTTTTAAAGACCATTACGAATGAAATTTTAGACTTTTATATATTATTATTAGTTATTTCTTAGTTACATATTTTAAATAAATTGTCAAAACAAGCAAACTCTAGTTGTATGCATACACATTTCTTAAAATAATTTATAAAAAAATAAGAATCTTTAAAATCTATAATGAACTAAATTTATTTACAACAGTCTGTCTATGTCTGTGTACTCACCATATGGACTATAAACAAACAGAGAGCTTTTTAGCCACTAAATTGGCAAAAGGTAAAATACTTACGTTTTCTCGTGAGATCAGGCTGCCTCTTACATAAAAGTAAAAAGAAATGTAAAAACTGAGCCCTAATGCGATTCTGAACAGTAGCTATGACTGTACATAATTGTAAGATGAATAAACATGGTTCATTTTAAGTGCAGATGCTTCATTCTGCTGACTGACCTGCTCACTGACCTCATTAATGTTTCTTATGAGTTTCTGCCTGATGATATAATAGCTGAACAACATTGCAGAACACACAACCAGCAGAGAGAGAGAGAGAGAGAGAGAGAGAGGGAGGGAGAGAGAAAGAGAGAGACCGGCGGCTGTAACCCATGAAGCTCCTCGAAACAAAGAGGAACCCAGAGGCGCTGCTGACACTGAGCTCAAAAAACCGAAATTTCAAAACCAGCAACATCCTCACACATCCAAACACACACATAAAATCTGCCGCAGCATACCCTTCCTTTCACACATACACACACACACACAGCTGCAGTGTCATTCGTCTGCCATTCCCCTGCTGCTGTCCTGAGCTGAAGGATGATTTATAGGGACTGACAGTGGCTTTGTGGAGTAGGCAAATCAACCGAGTCTGCCGTCCTTACTGACCCTATTCATCCTAGCAAACGCTAATGCAGACAGGGAAATAGAGGGATTGAGAGAGACAAGGAGGACGAGAGAGGGAAACAGAGAGACAGAGACGAGGCAAAATAAAGAAGAGCAAAGTTGACAAGGGTGTGAGGACTCGCAAAGTAGGGCGAAGTGATTTCTGCAAATTAGCTGAAAATGAGTCCATGACTTCCGCTTTTCCTACATGGAGAGCTCCTTATCTGACCTTATGGAGTCTGCAACCTTTATAGAAATGAGCGGATTATAAAAAATATCAACTGTAGATGTACTGGAGGCCTGGAAGAGTTTGCTTTGTGTTTTTTTTGTGTGTTGAATTAAGAGGACACTTTTCTGTGCTGTGAAAGCAAATCCACTTTGCAGCACTTCAGAGCTGAAATAATATGGTAAAAATGGTATTATTAGCTACGTTTTCATCCAAAGATATGAATTAAATGTACATGTAAAACAGGAATATCGCATAAAAGACATGTGAATAAAGCAGCAATTCCATCCAATGAGTCAAAGAGAAAATTTTTGAAAATCACTTCCCATGTAGTAGTGATGGGAAGTTCGGGTCATTTTACTGACTCGGAAGTTTGAGTCTCGTTCATCGAGATGAACAAATCTTTTTGAGTCATTTCGTTCATTTGGTTCAATTTGAAAAAATATTATTAAAATGTTATGTATTGCTTCCAAACACATCTACAACCAGCCCAAAAGGTTGATCACACGACAAATAAGTCATAAAAAGATTACTATATGAAGGAGAAAATTATAATTCAATGTTTACCTGCTCTTTTGTCTATGAAGGTATTGTTGTCTCTTAGCTCAGCTCACCTCTTCATGTCTTCAAATGTCAGTGATTCGTTTACGTTACACTGATAGTCACGTATAATCTTAACCAATGTGCACAGTCTGAGCCGATAGGAGCCAGGATAAATAGTTCACCTTTTGATTCAATTCTTTTTCCGACTCTAAACGCATTTGATTGGCGCGTGAGGAACGAATGACTCGATAGAGGACTCGAGAGATAAACGGATCAATTCTTTTTCCGGCTCTAAACTCATATGATTGGCTTCTGCCTTTCCGCGATGAACGACCTGCACAAATGTGCGCACGCGCGGATGAACGAATCACTCCCTGAGAGGACTCGTAGTTCCCAAGTCATATTGAAGATTCATTCAAAAAGAACGAATCGTTCATGAACGGCCCATCACTACCATGTGTAACTTTTTTCCGCAAACACAACAAAATGTAAATCAGCGCATAAAAAGACTGAGCATTTACAATGACACAAAACGAAACCAAAACCTTTAAAGAGTGGCAGAAGTGATTTTGTCCGTTTTTTCTGGTTATTTTTATATTGACGTGTATAAAAACAATAGTGCAAAATGTAGATTTCTTACTGCAATGCTTCATTTTGTTTGATGCAAACTATAGATTTATTTGTCTATGTAACAGTTGGACTTTTCATAGCAGATAACTCGCATTCAAGCACATTCAAAGCAGCATGATAATGTTATTCATTGTTAGTATTATCATCATCATCGTCATCAATTATAATTTCTAGACATTAATTGTGCAATTATTGCACAAATATAAATAAGTCATAACAGAATTAGTTAGCTGTTTCTGGTTTTTGTTAGTCCTGATTAATGTTGTTTTCAAATGCAATTAATCTGTTAATATAGAATTTGCAGTGGTGCTTCTAAATTTTTTATGGTGCTCCTAAAATATTTGAAGTTGGGAGCAACGGTGCTACCGAGTAAGATAGTAAATTTCAAGCCCCGCTTTAGACAAACACATTTTTTAAATTATTTATTCATTGTTCTATTATTTATTTACAGTGCAAAATTGTTTAAATATCAAAAATTCTACTTATGTTTTAGCACAAAGAGAGAAATGGACTACTGCTGTTTTTTTAATATTATTTTGTGCTGTAATAATTGGTTTCTGACAGAAATAAATAAAACTTTAAAACATAAGGAGTTTTCATGTCATTTTCTAAACTAGTGGTGTTTAGAAATTAACAAATGCATAATAATCATGATAATCGTGAAACTGGGATTATTTCTCAGACTATTATCGTACAACCAAAATCTATAATCGTTGCAACCCTAGTTACAAACTAGGCTTGGGCGGTAATACGGTATACAGCGGGATCTAAAAATAGCAACGGTGTCAGTTTCTATACCGTCATAAAAAACAATGGACTTAAATAGGAGATAAATATTAAATAACAAATATAATTTATTAAATGCCTACAAATGCGTATGTGTGAATGTCATCACGGGACAGTGTGGAGGAGAGAGAGAGAGAGAGAGAGAGAAAGAGAGGTGAGGTAAGGTGGCGAGTCGCGCACCAAGTGACCTGCAGTTTGGCAGTATTTCCGGTTTTGAGAGAACGAGAAGGGAGACGTGGTAAATACGAACTAGAGGTCTGCATTCCCACTGCTGTACCGCGGGAGCAGGGGGACCCAATCAGATTTCTTGCGGTGCAGGAATAAATTTCCAAATAAAGCATGGGAGTGGTCAGCAACTCTGGTGTAATTTAAAAGGGAGTGGACGCGGGGTCTAACAATATTACTCCTGAGCAAGCAATCATGCGCGCATCCGTGTGGATGCGGTATATGTGTGTGTGTGTGTGAATGAGAGAGAGAGCGTGCTGATTTTGTGTGTCCCTTAGTGCTCTGTGTGTGTGTGTGTGTGTGTGTGTGTGTGTGTGTGTGTGTGTATGAGAGAGAGAGAGAGAGCGTGGTGCTGTGCGTTGCTTGGTGCTGTCTCTCTCTCTCTCTCTCTCTCACTGTGTGTGTGTGTGTGTGTGTGTGTGCGTATGGGTGTAAATGAGAGAGAGCATACGCGGCAGATCTCTAATAGAACAAGACAAACAGGTGACCGCAAACCTAAGGTCGCATGTGCGGTATTGAATGGTTTAGGCACAAGCCAACAGTTTGGTGACGCTGTCTGAGCCTTACGTCATCATTTTTTAAATGATGCACAGTAATACCGGATATCGAGGTAAAATAGGGAGGAGGTTTGAAAGTATCAAAATTTGCATACCGCCCAAGCCTATTACAAACTACTTTTTTTTAACCTTTCAATTTAAATTTCATAGTAAATCTTCTAGTGAAATATCAGACTTTTCTTCAGTGACTTTTCCAGGATTTCTCCAATAATTTCTCAAGCATAAGTGCCACAATTCTTTCGAATAATTGTCTGCAAACTCACATACAAATGCTTCAATTTAATTAACAACGATTGAAGTGAGCTATCATTTATAGTCGATATTCCATCAGTCATTTTAGTGTTAAAAACCTGTGATTATAGGCAAGTCAGTACCTTAATCTGACATTTCTATATATATAGCATTTAAATTTCTTTAAGTGGTCATGGTAATGCGAGGATGCAAGAAGCCTTTTCAAAAGTGTGTGTGGATGATAGTGACAAAGAACAGAGGCACAAAGAGAACCGAAAAGAAGAGGCACAGAAAGGAGAGCAAATTATGACGGCGAAGAGGAAGGACGACTGATCTTATGTCGTGTCTTCATGCCTGGAGCAGAATATCACTTTTAGCAGCCACATCTGTTGGGCGGAGGCAGCGACAGGAAGAGACATAGAGATGGAGGGGGTTTTAAAGGTCACGCCTTACCAATCATATACAAGAACAAACAGTGCGGTCAACAAATAAATGACTGATGAATAAGATATGGGGCCAGTTTAGGTAAAAGTCACCCATGCCACGTCACTCTAACTAAATGTAGCACTGCTAAAATGGGGGCTTGTGTGACATTGTAGGACACGCAGCTGTCAAACATGAATATGCACAGCCAAACACAAACAAATAACATGTATATTACTCAAACTAAAAAATAAATAAATAGATGATATATTTTACATATTTTTTTCTATTTCAAATGAATGTCGTCTTTCTTTTTAGTTGTCATATATTATAATGTTGTGGACT